GGAAACTTGTTTGGCTTCAAAAGATGCAATGCCATTCGATCTGTTAAAGAAAAAACTGATGTTACGATTGAACACCCTTGGTGTAAGAATTAAAGAAATTTACGAGGAGGTAATCCAATCCACCTTTCTTAACGTGCAATTTTTGTTTTCAAGTCTAAAGATGACAGCCAATGACGTTAGCGAAATTATATGTAGGAATGGTCTTACATACCAGTTGGAGGATCTTTGCCAAATACAGAACAAAAAACACTTGCATTTGGTGCTGCTGCTAGCATGGTTCATCCAGCCACAGGTAATACGAGAAGAAAATACATTACTCTTGATATTAAAAAAGGGCATCCCGGTACACTAAGCTCTCGTTATGTGCGGGGTCTGGGGAAGGGTTGGACCACAGGGGTCTACTGTACGCAGCCTTACACTGCATTTTTGCAAGAGGCTAATTCCATAGCTCGAACTCATGACCCTAATATGGTATCCTTTATATGCAATGCTTTCTGAAACTTTTACTGCATAAACAGGTTATTCAGTCGTCAGATCACTGTCTGAAGCTCCAAAATGCGCTTCCGTGCTTGCAAATATATTACGACAAAATCATAGCAAGAACATGCTTACTAGTTCAAGTACCCCGAGTATTTCAACTCAAGGTACATGAAATGCATTTCTGCCTTTCTTGATTGCATTGATTTCATTTCAACCTATGTTGCTCGGACTCTTCAAAAATGTTGTTGGGCGTGTGTCGGATCTTCCAAAAGTAGTGCATTTTTGGTGAATCCAACACGGTTAACGACATTTGTGGAGAGTCCGAGCAACATAGATTCTGACCTTTTTGAACTAAGCAAGTATTCATCTTTTATCAGCTTGGAACACTCTTTGGCCACAAGAACGAAAACGACAAAGATCGTTTTTCCTATTTGGACTGGCTCTGATATTGCAGCTGGATATTGAGGGGATAAGGTCATTTTTCCGCGCGTTCTTCCGTGTGCCAAAATGGTATGGCTTGATCTTGCTTCTTCACTCCATTATCTTTGATGATATGACATCATTTTTGAATGAGTTTAAATTCCATACACTAACACTTCTACACAAATTAGATCAGATAAAAGATAACTACATGTAACCATTCATAAAGTGGAATCAGTAACATCGAAAATGAGGCGGGCAACATCTTACAACATGTTGAAGTACTTTGATAGTGTATAAATTCGTTAGATAGTATATATAAGTTAAATCCTTTTCAAATACATAAGACACTTCCGTTTTAAATAGTGAGAATATTGTAATTTTAGTACTAATGAGAAATCATGTCACTTGAAAGATAATTACATGTAACCATCATATCATATATCATATATATATATATAAAAGAGAATCCTAGGCCCGCCTACGTGGCGCCACCACAAACCAGGATTCCCTTTTAATTTATTTATTTCCAAAACTATCATTCCCCTTTCATGAAAAGTTGTGACTTTTATGAAAAGTTGCGACTTTAACGAAGAGTTGCGACTTTTATGAAAAGTTGTGACTTTTATGAAAGGTTGTGACCTTTCCGAAGGATTGCAACTTTTCCAAATAGTTGTAACCTTTCCGATAAAGCACAATTAACATTTGTTCACACTACCCTTTGTTTTCTATAAATAGAGGGATTTCCTCTCATTTTAAAACAACAAAAATTATTCTTCTTCTTCTTCTCCTCCTCCCCTCCTACTCTTCTTCTTCACAATTAAATATTTGTGTACTTTGCTCCTGTTGAGTGGCTCACTAACACCATTGCTTATGTTACAGATCCTTGTATGCATTTTTACAGTCATTAATTTATGCTTATGTTATTAACGATAAATGATAAGATGCTATAATTTTCATTTTCCTTTACATTATTAATGTTTGTTACTACGTAATCTTGTATGTAAGATAATATAGTGTTTTAGCTTTAATGACTGATAGGTTTTAAGTATTATTTTATAAATTCCGTGATATTAAATTCCCGCGCGAAGTGCGGGTAATTTTACTAGTTCATAATAAGTTGGATCAGTAACATAGAAAATAAAGAAGGTAACATCCTATAACATGTTAAAATACTTTGCTAATGTAAAAATTCTTTAGTCTGTCGGTGTATATAAGCTAAATCCTTTTTGAATACATAAGACATTTTTGTTTTGAATAATGAGAATATTGTAATTTCAATACTAATGAAATCAAGTCACTTGAAAGATAACTACATGTAACCGTTAATTATAAGTTGGATAAAAAACATCGAAAATAAAAAAGGCAACATTCTACAACAGGTTAAAATATCCTTATACGATTATCAGTGTATATAAGTTAAATCTTTTTCAAATACAAAAGACACTTTCGGTTTGAATAGTGAGAATGTTGTAATTTCAGTACTAATGACTAATTAGAAATCAGCAACATCAAAAATAAGGAAGGTAACATCCTACAACAGGTTAAGATATACTTCTACCATAATAAATCCTTTTAAGACTATCCGTGTATATAAGTTAAACCTTTTTCGAATTTAAAAGACACTTCAATTGAATAGTGAGACTGTTGTAATCTTAGTACTAACGAGAAAACACTACATGTAATCGTTCATAATAAGTTAAGATTAGTAACATAGAAAATAAGGAAGGTAACATCCTTCAACAGGTAAACGTAGGTTGATAGCGTAAAAAATCTTTATACTGTCAGTGTATATAAGTTACATCTTTTAGTAACGAGAAGCGTTATTCTTTCAGGATGTGGCAGGGATTTCTTGGTTCAAGTCTTTCTTCAGCAGACCTCATGTTATTTGCCTTCTACATGTTTGTTATTGCACCAAATGACATGAGAAAAGGCTTAATCAGACATCTTTTATCTGATCCTACTGGTGCAACATTGATAAGAACTTATCTTACATTTTAGAGTAAATTCCTCCTACAATAGTTGTTGAATCAGAGGCCTCATTACTTCAGATTCATAACAGAAATCGCGGTCTCTCGAGGCCTTAGCTTGTATATAACATTTTCACTAGGTTAATATGCTTGAATAAGTTGCATAGTTTCAGTTTCTGTATCTGCTTCTTTTTGGTCCAAGATCATGTATTGATCCAATTTATATACATTGCCAGTATATATAAATTTTATAATATTGCTAGTTTTTTTTATTTTTAAATTTGTCATAAATTACCTGCTTTATTTTTATTGTTTTCACTTATGATGAATTGTTATTATCTGTAATTTTCTTTTGGAATAAGGTACAAGTACCTTTAGACTATGACCAAAATCTCAGAGACACACTTTAACTAAACTAATGTCCTATTAGCCTCCCGAACTCATTTTTTTTTGGTAATTTTGTACACCTTTGGCTTATGTGGCACACTCCGTGATTCCGCATAGTTGAGGCTAGTGGCGGAGCCAGAGTTTTCAATAAGAGGTTCAAAATCTGAAAAAATAGACACACGAAGTAGCCGAAGGGGGGTTCTACATCTATTATATATACCTAAAAAATTATTTTAACCATGTAAATATAATATAATTTTTTGCGGAAGGGGGTTCGGATGAACCCCTAATGATAAAGTGGCTCCGCCACTGGTTGAGGCGCGTGAGAGATGTTTGAATGTCACGTAAGTCAAAAATGTGTACAAAATTACAAAAAAAATGAGTTCATAGGACCTTAAATTAGTTAAGATATGTCTCTGAAATTTCGATCATAATTTATGGAGGTCCTTTTGCCTTATTCCTTTTCTTTTAGATAATTTGCTAGTGTAATAGGAGTAATTATTTTATGTTCTCAATACAATGTATATAAAAGTTAATTAATAGTGCATGAATGTGAGCTGTTGAAGTTTGAAACATTCTTTTAAATTTTAAAAAAAAGTTTATTTAAACAATTTAAAAGAAGCATTTTCCATCTCTTTTCACAAATTATTTTAATTCACTATTGTTATTATTGTATATATGTTGGACACTAATATATATATGATATCTTCTCCTTGAACTAGTTGGTCTCAAAGTCAATGATGAGAAATATAAATTAAGGAAAAACATTTCACTTTTTATGTTATTTAATTGATGAGTTCGTTATTTTGTATTCATACGGTTAAGATTAGAAAATTGTTTTTAAGTTCAAGTGTAATTAAACTAGTAGAAAATGAAAGCAAAAATTAATTTTTATCGTTGTTTGTATGTTTATCTCTTTAAGAATCAATCAACTAAATAAGTAATCAACGAATCAAGTTAAGGTATTATCCTCTCTTCTTTCATTTGACATATACTTGATGTTCAAACAACTATATGTGCTAGAACAAGAATCTCTTCCACTATACATATTGTGACCAAGTTAATTAGTTTGTGCGAACATCAACTATTTATGTCATACTTGTATATATGTAGTTGTATCCTATATCAAACAACTTAAATTTTGACATTCTTTTATTTCCACTTTATCGACTGCGATACCATAATATTAAATGCATCCATTCATTATTTTAAATGTTTTATCCCCACAAAACCAACAACATAAAATATTTTATTTTTCACAATTTTTCATGATCAATATAATTACTATATAACTTGTTCTCACTCAATGTGTATACATGGAATGTCTATTACAATAACAATAATATACTCAGTAAAATTCCATAAGTAGGATCTGGGGAGTGGAGAGAAATAGAGTGTACGCTAATCTTACTCCTACCTCAAAAAGGTAAAAAGACTGTTTTCAAAGGACCTTCAACTCAAATACAACGATTACATGTGAGATTTTTTTTTCAAGCCGACTAACTAAAAATATTAAGATCCTTTTTTTATTGGTTGACAATGAAATGATTTTATAAAAATAATTTTAAAAAATAGAGGAAAAATTCTAAACAATCCAAATAGTCCAAGTGGGCCCAGAATCATCTAACCGACCATTGCACGTCTTTTGGCCCGACCCGGTCTTCTTATGGCCCAAATATCAAACTTTTAAATAACTGAAAATTGACCCCTAAAGTCTCCAAAAATTATTTTTCTTCTCACTCTTCTCTGTTTCGAAAAAAAATGAAAGTGAAGGTTGACGGAGATACTGGTGTTTCTCCGGCGCCGGCGAATGTAACGGTGGCGGTAGCTGTTAAGAGTGAAGAAGGGAGTGGGAGTCAACGTGCGGTGAAGTGGGCTGTGGAGAAACTGTTGCCTAAAGCGAATCGATTTGTTTTAGTTCATGTTATGCCTACAATAACTACAATTCCAACTCCATGTAAATTCTCTTGCGTAATGCTTTTATTTTGAAAAATTCATGTTAGTATTATAGTATATTGTGAGAAACATGTACATGCATTTCACTTGGTAAAATGTTTTAAAATTTTCATGAAGAGAAATTTTATAAAAAGCTTTTTTTCCAAGTTTTGAGTGAAAAATCAGCTCCCAAATTGAACAAATGATAGGCCAAAATCATGCTGTTCATTGAGAATTGAAGAGGAGAATGATTAGTTTGGCTAATGCTAGGAGAAGTAGGGGCTCCATGTGGCCTAGTGGTCAATGAAGTAGGTTCAGACATATGCTCATGTGATTTCTTCTCATCTGTTCTATTATAGGTAGACAGAGTTATCTGATATCTGATGCTGGTGGTAGGGGAAGGGGATGGTAGTCGAGGTGCGCACAAGCTGGCCTGTACATCACGATTATCAAAAAAAAAAGTTTGGAGTGAAAAATTAACACAATGTGTAACCACAAAGGTTTTTTAAAAACAAAACTTGGAAAAAAGCAACAAAGAAAATGTCTAAATAGGTAAATAGAACTCCTAATTTTTCTTAAAATCAGACCAAATTATTTATCACTATCGCCCTGAAAAGAGCAGAATGGATATAGGATTCATATTGCAGATCCCAACTAATTGTGGATTGAGGTTAGTTGATTGATTGATAGATTGATTAGTGTGTTGGGAAGGAAATTCAAAAAAAATTGTACTTCTTAATGTTCATGGAGAAATATACTACCTTTGAATTGCTTTGCTTTTCCATGAAAGTGAGCTGGTTGATTGGATTTGTGTGAGGTAGTTGAGGCTGAATTCCTCTTTCCCAGTACTAGTTTTTAGTTTGAATGTACAAGTTTTGTTTTGTCTGTTTGGTAATAATGTCTATGTCTGATCAATATTATAGCAGGAGAGTATATTCCTGTTGATGGGCTTGAGGCCAATGTGGTGAAACTATATACGGGTGATAAGAGGGCTAAATGTGAAGAAATCTTTATCCCATTTAAGATGTTATGCAAAAGGAAAAATGTAAGATTTTCTCTTCCTCAAATAAAAAGTTCTCCTCCTTTGTGTTTTGGTTTGTTGAAGTAAGTTAAATTTTCAAGTGTATTTATGTCTGAACTTCCTGTAGGTTGAGACTTTGGTGCTGGAAGGGAATAATCCTGCAACAGTGCTCCTAAAATATGTAAATGACTCTGGGATTAAAAGTTTAGTCTTGGGCTCTTTCTCCCCCAGTTACTTTGCTAGGTATGTGGGTCAAGATGACTTTGGATTTTGGTTTATCAGTATTCACTCATAATATTGTTGATTACGAAGGGAGCGCCTTGGCGTAACCGGTAAAGTTGCTGCCGTGTAACCAGGAGGTCAGAGGTTCAAACCATGGAAACAGCCTCTTGCGTAAATGCAGGGTAAGGTTGGTACAATAGACCCTTGCGGTCCGGTCCTTACCGGACCCCAGACATAGCTGGAGCTTTAGTGCACCGGGTTGAAAGAAAGTTGTATATTTGTTGATTGGAGCTTTATACTGGTAATAATATCAAGGGCTTGTTCTTCTAATATTAAATTTTATTAAGAGTTATCCAAATTGTAGTTCATCTTTATTCTAAATGTCGCGTAGTGTCCATTTAGCAATCATGTTTTATTTTGAGAATACCAGGTTCTATAATCTCTGGCTGCAACTTGACCTTTTCTAATGATTTTTTTGTTAGAAGAAGTAATTTTTCCCATGATTTGGTGGGGATGGCTGATTTCCAGTCGTTAGTTGTGCTAAACCTTAGATCAATTTTTACTAGGAAGCTGAAGGGATCAAGCGTGCCATCAATTATCCTCAAGCATGCTCCAGACTGTTGTGATGTTTATGTGGTGTCCTCAAATAAGCTTATGACAAATTCGTTAAATCCCTTGTTGGCTGCTGGTACATTGAATATCTTTTGGTCTCTCAATCGTTTATCTTACTTTCTGAAGTTCTCTTTCTTCTGCCGTTCAGGAATAGCAGTTTCTGACTTCTAATAAGCGCTTGTATACTGTGAAACAGAAGGTGACCTTCGTACAATCAATAAACAACAATCCAGTGCATCTTCCGTCTCCGCAGGAAGTGTTTTCCATAACAGATCATCGTCGGTTGCAGCTAGCCATCTTAATTCTCTAGAATTTGTCCATGGGAACTCTTCTAGTTATGTCAGTCCTCAACACAGAACTAATAGAAATCTGGAAGATGTGACCACAGGTCTGGAGGCAGTCAAGGGATGTCATTCTCACACTTACTCAGAGCAGGTGACTTGATAACTTTTCTCTAATGCGTTTCTTCAAGTTCCTCGTAAAACTTTTATTCGTTTATATTTAAAATGTCATTTGAAAGTATAAAATTGGTTAGTATAATTAAGTCTATATATATGTTGATGTTGATGTGGTACTTTGACCATGTCATTTCTGTTTATGCGCAGTTAGACATTCAGGACGAAGTGGAGAGGTTGCGCCTAGAATTACAGGATACTTTAGCAATGTACAATCAAGCATGTGAGGACCTGACCCATGCCCGAAACAAGGTAAAGCTCTTTATCTGACTTTACCTCAAATCATTTGGTAATAATGAAGTGCTCGTCTTACATACTGGAAACAACAAATATATGCTACTGATTAGAATCAGGATCTCGATAATCTAGCTTAGTTCCATGTCAGTGTTTATAGCTTTACAACATTAGTGAGATATGGTAACTCCAGTAGGCAAGACACTGATGCCTCCCATCATGAACCTGTCCACTTCTACCAGCAAGCTCTGACATTACCTTGCACACTGTCTTTCAGGTCCAGTTATTTTCTTCGCAATACCTTGAAGAGTCTGGAAAAGTGAATGCCGCCAAGAAAAGAGAAGAAAATCTAAGGAAAATTGCTGCTGAAGAGAAGGAGAAGCATATGGAAGCTGAGAAGGAGGTTGAGATAGCAAGAAAATTGCTTTCCAAAGAGGTCTATGAGAGGCAGATAGCAGAGTTGAAGGCTCTTCAGCAGTCCTTGGAGAAAAAGAGAATTGTTGATGCACTATTATCATCTGATGGCAGATATAGAAGGTTTACTAGAGGAGAGATTGAGGTTGCAACCGATAACTTTTCCGAGTCTAAGATGATTGGTGAAGGGGCATACGGAAAAGTTTACAAAGGTGATCTTGATCACACCCCTGTTGCCATCAAAGTTCTTCATTCTGATGCATCAGAAAAGAAAGAGGAATTTCTAAAAGAGGTGTTTCTTCAAGCTTTTGTTGTTTTCTCTTTCATTTCAAGTTATGCAATTTTAGACATGCCTCCTTTTACTTTAAAGTTACACCTAGTGTAGTGGAAAGACCCCTCCACCTTCTCAACCAAGAGTTTTGAGGTTCAAGTCACCATGGAGGAAAGTGAAAAAAGGGCCACTATTGACTCTTTGGTAGGGGGATGGAGTTTACCATATCAATTAATAAGAGAGGAACAATCCCCTCTTGTATTCCTAGGTGCTGTAGTTTATAGTTTCAAACACTTTTGCAGTATCATTGTTAACACATAACAAAACTTCCAACTTCACACCTTACATGCCTTGCCCTTTTTTTCCTGAGAAACACTCCTCAGCATACATCATGTATTAGATCTTGTGCACAATTATTTGTGTCAGGAATTTATGGATTGTTTACCAGATATAGTTAGTCCCAAATCTAATTGTAGTCATTTATAGCAGATATCTTCAACTTCTGTTGATGTAATAGTAATCATTTGTAGGTGGAGGTTCTTAGCCAGTTACATCACCCACACATTGTTTTACTGCTTGGAGCCTGTCCTGAAAATGGTTGCCTTGCTTATGAGTATATGGAGAATGGAAACCTTGAAGATTACCTTTTGGAACGGAACAGCAAACCATTACCCTGGTTTTCTCGATTCAGGATACTTTTTGAAGTGGCATGTGCTCTTGCATTCCTACACAACTCAAAGCCTGAGCCTGTTATTCATCGAGATCTGAAACCAGGAAATATATTGTTGGACAAAAATTTTGTGAGCAAAATAGGAGATGTAGGTCTAGCAAAGATTATATCAGATGTTGTACCAGAAAATGTTACAGAATACATGAACTCTGTTCTTGCTGGCACCCTTGGTTACATGGATCCAGAGTATCAAAGAACTGGCACACTCCGACCAAAATCTGATCTGTATGCTTTTGGAATAATAATGCTTCAATTACTGGCTGCTCGTCGTCCTAATGGCCTTATAATGAAATTTGAGAATGCTATAAATTGTAATTCATTGGTGGATATACTTGATAACTCAGTTCCTGATTGGCCATTGATTGAAGCAGAAGAGCTAGCTAGGATGGCGCTAAAATGCTGCAATCTTAGATGCCGAGAGAGACCTGACCTCGATACTGAAGTTCTTCCACTTCTGAAAAGATTTTCTGAATATGCTGACATGCATACCAATGAAGAGAAGAACCTTATCCGGGCACCTATTCCGTACTTATGCCCGATCCTTCAGGTGAGAACTGGAAATTCCAGAAGATGACCTAGTCATTTCTAGTGCAATTTTTGTGCATGCATCTCATTCTGCTTTCTGCTCTTGTTATAACGCAATATCTTTGCAGGAAGTAATGGGAGATCCACAGATAGCAGCTGATGGCTATACGTATGAGCATAGAGCAATAAAGTTATGGCTCGACAGACACAGTGTATCACCCATGACAAAACAGAGACTACAGCACAAGCTGGTCACGCCAAACCACACATTGCGACTTGCTATACAAGAGTGGAGATCAACATTCAACATCGTTCAGATAGAGAAAAACTAGTGATTGCTGTGGATAGTTCAAGGTAGAGTCTCTCATTTCCTTATTTCTAGTTCATTCACTTCAGGGATGGTTTGAATGCTGCATAACATCATCTTCAACCAACCTCCACCGTACTTTCAGTGCAAAGGGTCTAAACGTTCATGACGATATCAACCCAAAAAGGAAGCTAGAGAAACCAAGAAAAGAAGGAAAAGTAATAGGACTATTGTATACACAAGTGACTTTAGGACAAAGTCGTCAAGTAGTATGTTCGTATATATACATTATTACCCGAGTGTACATTAGCAACTGTAAATCGTTTGAAGTATTGTATAGTTCCTGATTGTAGGAAACCAGTAGAAATGTGTATAAAATGTAACATAATTCTGAGAGTGAGACCATACATTCTGATTCATGATTTCTTGTGGTAGTCGAGTCTGAAGTATTGACGAGAGGTTATCTGACGTGACATGACACAATTTTAGCTTATTGTGGGCATGACCTTAGATAGGAGGAAATGAATTATGGTAGAAGGTTAGTAGATGGTTGAGCGATGATTCGCTTTTCCATACTAACTAGTTAGTTGAAGTTTCTTGTCCTTGAATTTCTGTTACTATTTGTTGTTTATTGTACTGCGATTATTGTAGTATTTTGTTGTAGTTATTGCTCCTTATTTTTAGATTGCTTTGTCATGCCCTCTATAGTATTTTGCCGTCTCCACTTCTTTCATTTCTTTTTCCGAACGACTTTGAATAGTTTTCCTTGACCCAAGGGTCTGTCGGAAACAATCTCTCTACTTCCAAACGTAGGGGTAAGCTTTGCATTCACTCTACCTTCCCCATACCCCATTTGTGGGATTACACTGGTATATTGTTATTATAGACGAGTCTGAAGTATATTCTATTCTGTAAGGATAATAGTAGAAAGTCGTTCAGGATTTCACTATCCATGGAGCATATCCCGAAAATGGCGAAGCCAAAAATTCCACTAAGGGTCTTCAAGATTTAATGTGCATAAAAAGTAATTTGACTTGAATATATAATATAATTTTCTATATACTTTATAATATTTTTGTATGAGAAGGGTCAACTGACCACCCTTCGCTCTATGTGGCTACACCACTACCTGCACCTGGACGGGAAGACCCTATTTTGAAACTTCACTATTTCTTAGGTGGCTTTCGACATTCCCCTTCACTTGTCGATTAAGTGTAAGGCGAAGAAGGCCTACTTTCGAGGGGGGCTCGAGTCATAAGTGAGATACTACTCTGAATAGGCTAGAATTCTAACCTTCATTACCTACTAGTTTCACGTAAACAATTTTTATGGAGCTTACACCTCTCAAAAGTAACGGAGGCGTGCAAAAGACAATCAATTGTTTAATCTGTCAATAATTTCTTCAAAAACTTGGCGCACATCTTACAAGAAGGAAGAACAATACTTTGGTAATTAACAAGAAGAAATGTTGAGATATAAATCACTTTTTAAACTATTTAATCCATGTTAATGTGTTTTTACTCCTTTTTGTGTAAAAAGTTAATGGGGATTATCACCGGGCGTTATTTGCAAGTTATTTAACAATGATTAAATGATTTTAAAAGATGAAAATACATATAAATCAATCATGATTAAGTGAAATGTATATACAGATTGTTATAATTTCTTGTGTTTGACAATATACATTGAAAACAAAAACTAAGTAAAAACATAAATGGAGAAGAAAACAAAATTAATCTGAGCTCAGAATTCATAGTGTGTTCTTAAAGACCTTAATTCTCTTTCAATATCCGAAGTATAGGATTATTTTCTCCCAAAATAGAGTGGATTTTCATCACATATATAGCGGTAATTCAAACACCAATGTTCAACAAACTCAAAAGACAAGTCAAATCGCACTTAGAACTTATTGTTTAATGCAAAAAGTAGTATGTAGAAGTAAGAGAGTATTTTAGATGTTTCATAAGTAAAAATCTGAGGAAGTGAATGTGTATTTATATCCAATAAAGCTTAGTGTGAATATGTGTTATTGTGCTTTATCAGAGAAGTCATAATCTATTCAAAGTAACAATGTGTTAAAAGTGCATTCTCTCAATCCAAAGAAACGGACAAGTATTTATAACCGACAAATCATAGTGTGAACATTGTTATTATGTCTTATCAGAAAAGTCACAACTTATTCACGGTGAAAAGGTGTTATTCAAATTACATCCTTTCTCAAGCTGTCTTTTCAGAAAAATATCTACCTCTTAAATATCCAAAACAAACAATTTAGAAAAATGTACAAGTATTATTTACTATAAAAATATAATACTATCTTTTTACTTTTACTATACATTTAAAAAATAAATTAAAAAATCACTTATTGCTCAAGAAAATAGTTTCCTTCGTATCAAATACAAATGTTATTTCAACTTTAATTTCAATTTTCCTTTTTTAATTTTAACCAAAATATTTATCCAAACACATGAGATTTAAAGTTTTCTTTAAATTAAATTTTCTATTTATTTTACAAAAGTTTCATAGTGTTAATAATTTTCCATATCAATTACTATCAAGTTTGCTTAACTTAATCCATTTTCCCATTTTCGAAACGTGGCACCGCATTCTATCGCTTTTTATTCTTCCCAACCGCGTATTAAGATTTTAATATTAAAGCCTTCACTTAAAATTAGCATTTTAGTCCCTCAAAGATATATATAATATAATTTTGGCCTCTTTGGTTAAGTATATTTAGTTTTTAATTAATTAATATGCACATTTACGATAACAATAAACTCAGTGTAATCCTATAGGTGGGGTAGAGAGGAATAGTATGTATGCAGACCTTATGTTGAGAATATAGAGAGACTAGATTGTAAAACTTCACAAATTAATGATTTATTTAGTGTTAAATCATTCAATTACTGATGTAAATATTATGTTTTATGTCACTCAATATTTTTTAAGATAATGGAGTTTTTTAAAATAATCTTAATATCACATATTTACTTTATGAATGTAAAAAATACACTTTTAGTTAATTGAAAATTAGGTAAACGTTTGGACATAAAAATGTAATATTTGAGTAAAGTAGTATCTAAATAAAAATTTAAAAAAAATATTTGATAGTTGAAGTATATTTAGAGATATATATATATATATTTAACTAAATTCACGTGAAAAATTAGTCATGACAATCACTCTTTCAAACTTGAAACTCATTGAAAACGACAAATCGACAACACTCAACCACCTACTAACATTCTATCTTAATTGAAACTGACTTCTCCTCTTAGTAGTAGTATTCGATTATCACGTGTTACTACATGTTATTAGTCAATTGCTATTTTGTTCTCTCCTTTCTTACCATCTTTTTTTACATGTACTTCTCTTTTGAATTAAATATCTATCGAAAACTGATCTGCATACATTCTACCCTCTCCATTCTCCTAATTTTCACTTATAAAATCTTATCAAGTATATTATTATTATTATTAAACCATAAGATAACTCATATACCAAAAATACAATTATCTCAAAACTCACTTAATCCACCGTCCACCTACCCCTCCCCCCCAACCCCACCCCACCCCCCTCCTAACAAGAATCTTCCTTCACCGCGTAAGTTCCTTACCCCACCCCATCCCACCCCCTCCTTTCACCGCGTGTATTAAAATTCTCTATATATTCAAAAACTCCATTTTTGATTTTCCTCAATTCATTACTTCTGTGTTCACACACTTTTCTTCTTTCATACTTTTGACAAAATCTTCAAATACTTTCACACCTGAAAAATATTAAAAGAAGAAAAAAAGTTTCATTTATTTGAATGGAAATCACTTCTTCTTTCTCATTTCCATCACAAGAAGATTTCAATTCTCTAAACTTTTTTCAAGAACTCAACTTTCTTTCTCCATCTTCTGATCATCCTCAATCCATGTCGAAAAAAATAAAAATTAACGATTTTGATCACAACCCAGTTGAGGAAATCCTGAATAAATTTCTGGGTGTCGAAAACGAAACGCACCCAGAATCAAAATCTGATGAAAATCACACCCTTTTTGATTTCAAGAACCAAAAAGTTGATCTTGAAATGAAGGATCATGGTGTTGTATCTGGCACCAAACGTGTTCGTGAAAATGCCGCTGAGAAGGAAGAGGATGTAGTTGAGGTTGGTTCTGGCTCTGGTTCTGGTTTTTCTCAGCAGCCTTTACAGCAGAGGAGATTATGGGTGAAAAACAGATCAAATGCGTGGTGGGAGCAATGTAACCGTCCTGATTTCCCTGAAGAGGAATTCAAGAAAGCTTTTCATATGGGCAAAGCTACGTTTGATTTTATATGTTCTGAATTAGAATCAGTAGTGACAAAAAAAGACACAATGCTACGTATGGCGATACCTGTTCGTCAGCGTGTAGCTGTATGCATTTGGAGATTGGCTACAGGGGAGCCACTCCGTGAAGTGTCTAGGCGATTTGGGTTAGGTATATCTACTTGTCATAAGCTCGTGCTCGAGGTATGCACAGCTATAAGAGGTGTGTTGATGGCGAAATTCATACAATGGCCTGATGACATTAAGATGGAGGAAATTAAACATGAGTTTGAAATCCTTTCAGGGATACAAAATGTAGGTGGATCAATGTACACAACACATGTACCAATCATCGCGCCTAAGGAAAGTGTCGCGAGTTACTTCAACAAAAGGCATACTGAGAGGAATCAGAAGACATCTTATTCAGTTACAGTACAAGGGGTTGTTGATCCTAAGGGGATTTTCACAGATGTTTGTATAGGATGGCCTGGTTCAATGACAGATGATCAAGTCTTGGAAAAATCCATACTTTACGAAAGAGCAAACAGAGGAAACTTGAATGGTACTTACATTGTTGGGAGTTCAGGATTTCCATTAACGGATTGGATTTTAGTTCCATTTACTCATCAGAATGTTACTTGGACACAACATGCTTTTAATGAGAAAGTGAATGATGTTCAAAAAGTTGCTAAAGAAGCATTTATGAGATTGAAAGCAAGATGGAGTTGTTTAAAGAAAAGAACAGAAGTGAAACTTCAAGATTTGCCTGTTGTTCTTGGGGCTTGTTGTACACTTCACAATATTTGTGAAATGAGAGGTGAAGAATTAC